TTAGGCATCTCATAACGACACAACGGACACAAATTGCTCGTCTGCAACCATTTAGAAATGCAACCTCCATGATAGACATGCGAGCAAGGCATGCGAGTGATCTGCGACCCGATCGGAAGCTCTTCCAAACAGATGGTACAATTCATGGTGGAAGTGGAATCCACACCATCACCATCGACGTCGAGTCTCGCCATTTCCAACGCCTCAATGGCGGACGCAGACGCAGGGACAGCTCCGAACCCACCATTGCCGGCATCCATTGATTCCATGGAAGCTGCGGCTATGGCAGCATTTTCGTCGTAGCGTTCAGTGAGAGTCTGCAATATATGGACGGAAGCAACCGGAATGGGGGCTCCATTAGAAACAGBAAGGGCCACCTCTCGGGCAAATGAAGAAATTCTTGGTTCCAGGATCCCAATCGCCTGCTCAGAGAAGCCCATCTCGGAAAGAATGTAAGATACCAACCTTGGACGATGGAGGTCGGATAGTAAGCAGCAAGTATTCAACCAGAATTTCTTGGTGATTCTGGGACCCTCCACCTCAATTGTCGCTAATGCATCGTCGTCTCCTTCCTCATCCCCCGATTGCAGAATCCATGTGGTAGTCTTTAAAAACTGGAATTCGATGGTGAACCTATCCAAACCATCATGGACCCATGGCTTCCAAGTGGCCATATAAGCAGACAAGTTAATGAAGATTGAGTAGCGAATCAAAAACTCGAACGGGAAGAAGAATGGAAAAGCAGAAATTAATAACTGGGTTTTTATAATTAATGCAGTAAGAGTAGTGTAGAACTGGAAGACGATAGCTAGTTCTTGAATTAGAAGTTTCTAATTCCCAAACGGGATTTCCTACTTGTTCTTGAATTACAAATAGGAAAAGACTAAAGAGTTCACTTTTAAGTTTTAACCCGACACACACGGTCGTAGACTCGTAGCAACTAGCAAATTTGGATTATTGAAACAAAGAGCGCCACAAGGTGTGACGTGGTCATGAGAGTGGGACCCAAGCCCATAATTCTAATCGGACGGTGGAAAGAAGTTTCTACCTATGAAATGAATTAAGAGAGATCGAGAGAACTTTCCAATCCCTTGCAAGAATATCAAAAATAGCATTTCTACCATAACCAAGCAACCACTCTAAATTTTGTTATCTAAGATGATAGAAGTAACCATATAATGTTTACTTGTCACTTAAGCTTGCAAGTTATGTTTATGATCATGACTCTGTCTCCTTTAGCATCTGAGTTTGTAAGAAGAACTTATGTTGAATTAATTTCTTGAACTTTTTTTAAAAGAAGCTATTTCTTCTTAAAATCTAGCAATAAGTTTATTCATTCTATTAATTCCTCCTCTATAATTTAATCCACGATAAAAAACATTGAGTACTTTTGGGTCAGCCTTTCCACGAATAGATGGTGTAGAACTCATGGGTTGTTGTTCTAGTGTCTTAGAACTAGAACTAGACGTATTTCCATTTTCCTATAATTTTAAATTTTTAATTCAACGAAAATTAACAAATTTTATTTTATTTTAAAATCTAACTAAATTTAGATAATAATTTTACCATCACAAGGGCATTCAAGACTCTCAATTCAACAATTATAATGCATACGTGATACAAGTTTTCTAAACTTGGTTCCAATTTCAAATCCTCAACTATACCAGTTTCAAGGTTCTAAATTCAATTGCAACAAATTTAGTTCCAACAAGATTCTATTTCAGCATGGATTTTCAGCTACGACTTTGATTCAAAACAAAATTTTGAAATAATTCTATAGAAAATTAGAAATTTATTTCTTTCAGTTTCAGACTTTTGGCTAACCTACAAGGCTATAATGACTTTTGTAAGTTTAGAAGAATGAATAATACAAATTGAAGCAAGCTTGTAAACAAAATTGTAACAAGTTAGAGGTTAGTCACTAAGTTTCTAGTTTCTAGTAAATTATTTCAGTAATTTAATATTAAAAATTATTAAAAATTAAAACAAAATTGTAAAAAATAGAGTTTCAAATCCAAATAAGGAGATCAAATCAACCCCTCACAAGAATGCCCCTACAACATCCCACAGTACATCCCCGCTATGTATTGGGAACATCTCTCGGTGACAATCCCAGAAATGATGATGTCATCATTGGGAGATATTTCCAGTACACGATGGGAATGTTGGGGGCAATCTTGTGAGGGGTTGATTTGAACTCTCAAATAAGCTTCAGGTTTCTTTGTTACAGATAAGGAGGAGGAAGAACCACCTATTGGTGATGATAGACCCCTGGCCGAAGAAAAAGAAGTATGGTGGTGAATAAACCATCAGCCAATAGAGAAGGAAGAGGAAGGGAGGAGCGAGAGAAAAGAAAAGTAGTTGAGGTAGGAGGCAGTAGGCAATGGTGAGCGGTGGAGGGCTTTGTTGAAGGCAACAAACAGGTTATAGGGATGAGGGTTTTGGTTTTTCTTTTTGGGGTCGAATTTTCTCTTTTGTTTTTTGGGTTTGGGTCGAGTATAAATAGGATAGGGATGTAATTTGGGTTTTTGTCTTTTGTGGTTAGGACTTAGGAGGGATAAAAGGGGGTGAAACCGTGAAATAAAACCGGCCAGTTATTCAAAACCGGGGTCAGGTCATCGGCTCCTACATTGAATCAACTGGGTGGGCGGTTTGACCAATTCAATTGACCAATATTCTAATCCAATTTTCCAGATGTTAAAGGTAGCCCATTGCACACACTTGTGTTTGCAGCAGATCCCTACTCTTAATTAAAATGACTTGCCTGATATTCATCACCAAGTTTTGGAGGCTAAAGAATTTTATTTTTGTTAATGGCATTGTAGTTGTTTTTACTTTTTAATTTGAGAAACAAAACCATGCAATGACGTCGAAACTTCTTTAATATTGATCGTTTTTTCTTGTTGTGAGTTCTTCTTTTCAGCTTTTATAGAAAAAGTTCTCTTTTTAGTCTCTTTAATATTAATTTTTTTTCTTTTTGTGAGTTCCTTTTATTTTTTTTTTTATCAAAAAAAAGTTCTCTATTCATCTTTTGTTTTTGATTCATAGGGCTACACAACCGAGGAGTAGGGTTTAACACCCTCTCACCCTCATGCCCATAATCCCCCAAACCTCTGGTGGCAGTAGGATTTAATCTCAAAGCATGCTTTTCCTTGCGTTTTTAAAATTGAAACCAAAACCATGTCTTCAAGTTTTGGTTTCAAAAACATGTTATCCCCTTGTGGATTGATATTATGTTTCATAAACATACAATATTCCATGCAAAATGGGGAAATAAAGCATATAACATTTAGGTTGGACTATAGACTTAAAAAAAAAAAACACATTTTGGGTTGGACCAAGAGAACCCAGATTTCCTACTCATTTTCTTTACACATAGTTCATTGTAGCTGCACATCTCACAATACAAGATGGCAATGTGTGGCTGCAATTCAAGGCCAGTAGAGAGTTGTAGGTAGGAAATCCCGATATGGGCTATGATACCAAAAAGACATGTGATACATGAAGGCGATTGGTCAAAGCAAGGTTTTTAAAATTGAACCGATCAGGGGTCTAGTTCCCGGTCAAATGGTCCAACTATTTGAACCGAATAGATAGCTTGTTCTGACAAAAAAATAAAAAATAAATAAAAAAAGGCCAAATTGTTGAATAGTTCGACTGCCCGAGTCAGCAGTTTACTGACCAAATCAACGATTTTTGATAAAATAACGGTTCTGGGGTAAAATGGAACTAATCACCTGACCAGCTCTCAATTTTTCCGATCTGACCATCCAGTTTTAAAAACCATGGGTCAAAATCCCTTCTCTGTATCATGATTTTTTAATAGCATTCCCTTTTCAAGTAAGGTGCCAACTAGCTAATTAGTAAGGTCCCTAGCTGGTTGTAGTAGAGACTTTGGATTGAATCTTACTTGTTGCAGGGTTATGTTGGGGAATGGGTTACCCCATGTTGTATAGCTTGGTCCATAAAAAAAAAAAAAAAAGTTAACATCTTTGAATTAAAAGATGACAAATTCACCATTACACTATCATTCAATTAGTTGTAACTTGTGTAAAAGCATGTACTTTGCAATGTGTGTATACAGGGGTATCAATGGATCGGATTTGGTTTGGACCCCATCCGATCCAAACCCAATTCAAACTGACTGGACCATCCAATGAGACATAATGGAATGGACTGGTCCAGACTTAAAAGGTCCATGTGTTTATCGGATTGGAGTGGACATAAACCAATTGCCCAATAATCTGTCCGGCAGACAAACTGTTCAACGAACCAACTCTTGGATTTTGGTAAAACAAGTCTGCATTCTGCAATTTCTAACGGCAAAACCAAAGTCTAGTGTTTGGCATTCGTTGGACTCAGAAGTCTAAATCACTGGAGGCCAGATCTCTTATCCACGAGAAATTTTTTCAAGTTTATTATGATTATATATGGAAAACATCTCATCCTTTGCATAATATTTTGTAAGGGAAGATGTTCCCAATTCACTGGAGATAGTGTGTTGTGGATATACGTGGATAGGAGATCCAAACTCTGAATCATTACTACATACAAAGCTCGTACGGCTACTCGTATTGAGGAGGGGTTGCTTTTGTTCTGCACAAAAAAGGATCAAAGAAAGTGTTGACAAGGACAGATCGGTGGGGTTGATTAGGGGCATTTCAGTCATCTTCTTTTTTGAATGAGTGAGAATATCTATCTCACTCTTACGAATGGAAATTTCCCCCATAAATCTGGGGCCCCACCTTGCCTCGTCCTGAACAGGCGGTTTTCCTTGGCTGTAGGACTGGATTTTTGCATATAATTCTTCAAATCTATTAGTAAATTAGTAAAATATTCTTAAACCTTCTACCTCATATTCCTTTATATTTCTCCCTCTCTCTCTCCCCTCTTCTTCCCTTCCCTTTCTCTCCTCTCCCTTTCTTCTTCCTGCTTTCCTCTGTTCTGTCCAAACTGTCTAATCTTCAAACTCTTCTTGGTCTTCTCTCTCCACCACCTGAGCTAAGCTGCTGGTTCTGCAATCCCATCATGAGAAAAAGGAAGTTGCGATCTTGAAGTTCCATGTTCTACATTCTTACTATCCATTGGGTTCGTTGGAGTCGATTGTGAATCCTGTGCAACCTACTTTAGCGACGGAAGCCATGGGTGCTGAGACATTCACATTGAATATTATCAGGGTTAATGGGTCGGTGGCGATTGATACGGGGATCATTCAGGCGTCAGTAACCCAGACAGTTTTTTATCAAAACCCAGTTTCCATCTTATTGCTGAGAGCGAATTTTGGGAAGGAAGCCCTTGGGGCGACAAGGAGTGGCAACGAAGGGGTGGGAGCTGCACCTCCAGAAATTTCATTTTCGCCAGAGAGTTCACCTTCTCTCGAGATCCCACTAACCCATCTCTCCTCTCCTCCCGGTTTCTGCAAGGAGATCCGATCGGGTGCAGCCGTTACTAGGGTACAAAGAACCGCCCTTGTTGTTGCTCTCTGCTGTATAGCATTGTACTAGTGGTATGAGATTTTGTTTCAAAATTTCTTTTCGTTTTTTTTACTATTTAATTTCGTTCCGGTTTTGATGTTTTTTTTAATACTTTTAATTTTTTCGTACACGAAAAATTGTATGTAACTACAAAGCAGCATTCTTTTGTTGGGGGTGGACTTTACTGCTTTAGTTTAGCAGAGAAGATTCTTGTCAGAATAATTTGAGAACAAAAATACCAAATTTTCCCTTTGGGTAGTGATCTGATCGATGCGTCACTGTAAAATGCTAGGAATCAGTTCTTTCTACATATTTCTTTTGGCTTGTATGAGTTGTTTAAAAAGAAAAAGAATGATTTTGTCTAAATTTCTTTGCTCTGTTCTCGGGACTTGGACCTTAGATATATCTTGCATGCTTTGATTCGTAAGAAAAAAGTTTGCGGTACACATTCCTTTATTTTTAGTCTTTGGTCTTGCCTGACCAGGAAGGCCACTACCATCGACACAAGGAAGAACCACTCAGTGTCCGTAACCTCTTCATCGACGGGATCATCTGCAGACACTGAAATCTCGGATATCAACGAATTAAGCCATTTGAAAGAACCTGAGATAGAAGGGATTATCCTATTGTTATTCATTTACCGTGAGGTTGAATAAGATGAACAATGTTTTTTTCCCCATTGAGATTAAAAAATATTATAACAGCGTTTTTGGACGGAAAACTAACGGAAGGAGGTCTTTGTTACAAAATAAAATATAGGGGGTCTTTATTACATACCCCATAGTACAGGAGGGTCTTTGTAATTTGCCTTATTTTTTTTATTTTCCTTTGAGCCCTGAGTTTCTTTATGTGAAAGTAGTTCAGTTTGACTCTACCATCTTTTCTCTTCTGGTTTGAGTCTTCGTTATGTTAGTTTTTTTTCATAATTAATAGGGAAAGCTTTTTATGGATTGAACCAGTGGTTCCAAGTATGTGTGTCAATTGGATTGGATTCGGTCCAATCCGATCGGGTCCAATTCAACGAACACTCTAGACCATTTTGGACCAGTCCAATTTAATGTTTGGACTGTCCAATTTGTTCAATTTGGTTTTAATTTTGATTGGTTCCAATTCAAACCTAGTCCATTGGCACATGCATTTTTATCTTCTTTCAATGGACCAAATATTGATTAGTTCAACCCAATCCAATCCAATATAAATCCATTTCAACTAGACCAAGTCCAATCCAATCCAATAAATATTTTGGACCATTAAGTTTGAATTTGTCCAATTCAATGTCTTATTGGTCCAGCCCAAGGTTCAAAATATCGATACGTCCAATATGCCGGTATGGGAGTATCAGGCGAATCGATATTTATTTTGGTGGGGTTTTTTTTTTTTTGCCAATTGGTTCAGAGGAGACGGTTTAGGTCTTTGCCACACCCTGAACCAGTCAGACCACCAATACACCCACTGTAGGGGTGTATTGGTGGGGTGCCGGAACGATACGTATCAGCTGATACGGGCTGATACATATCGATACTTTGAACCTTGGTCCAACCGACCCATCCAAATTAATTTTGATTTGGACGGGTCCAACACAAAACCGGTCTATTGACACCCATTAAGTTTGAACTGGTCCAATTCAATATGTCTTATTGGTCCATCCAATCTGTCCAAATTAATCTTGATTTGGACGGGGTCCAACACCAAACCAGTTCATTGACACCCATTAAATTTGAACTGGTTCAATTCAATGTCTTATTAATCCATCCAATCCATCCAAATTAATTTTTATTTGGACAAGGTCCAACACAAAACCGGTCCATTGACACCCATAGTTTGAAGAAATCAAATTGAACCACACCTCATTCATTTTTTATGGATTAATTCTTGGCAATATAATTTCTTTTATTTGGGCTTTCCGTGGCTTATTTCTATAGTTTTTTTATATTTTCTAGGTTTTTATATGGTTTTTTATGTTTATGTTTCATATTTTCATTCAGTTTGGATCGGATTTGGCCTCATCCAGTCCACTTGCATTTTAATTAGACTAGTTTGGGCTTGATTTGTATGGATTTGGACCAAATTGGGTCCAGTCTATATATAAATGGATCAATACTGGATTGGATTGGACCAAGTATGATCCAATTGACACCCCTTATTGTGTGTGTGCATGTATGGACCAAGTATGATCCAAGTATCCGTTTTATATAATATAGATAATTAACAGGTTATATAATTTCTAGATTTCTTTTCTTAATGCCTGTCTAATAAAAATTAAAAGAAAAACTGATTATTAGAATTTATGTATTTATAATTTGTAATTAGAATTATATGAGTTTCAGCATTTCCTAAGTGTGCCTCGATCTGTGTAGTTCCCACCTGAAATAAACTATCAAAATATGTGTTTCATATTTGTATAATCTGACACTTAGATTCAGTATTATTGATTTTAATATTTCTTCTTGTTTTTATACTTTGAACCTTGATTTGTGACCTAATTCAATTCAACAAGCCTCATTCCAATTATATAGGCTTGCCTTCGTTAACATAATTTTGTTATTCTACCCTATTCAATGCCATATCCATTAATGTTTTGCAAATCATTCGGGTCTGGTTTGGGACAGCCTTATCAACCTGAACCAATTATTTATTGGAACAAAACCATAGACCCAGATTAATCAGGATGATAAGGTCTAACCCAATAATATTGACATCTATCATTATTTATTTAAATAACCAATTAAACCTTGAATTTTAATAATACGATCTTAATAAAAATAAGTGTAAAATAATAAATTATTTAATTGTTAATAAAGAAAGTGGTTTAAACCAAAATTGCCTTATCTATGTTTATCAAATTACCCTTTTAAACAAAAAAATGTAATAAAAACAAGAAAATTAGGAAATCTTTATATATTTTTAACAAAATAATGATTTAAGTATGAATCAGTTTGAAATAAGCAACTGAGCAAGAACCAGAACTGTCCCAAAATCACAGAACTAGAACTAATGTAATCGGTTCAGTTCGGTTTAATTCGGTTGGGTAGAATTTACTTACCGACAGCCCAAGTTAGTTGCTATTTCTCCTTTCAATAGGACAACTTGTGTGTGTGGGTGAGTGGGGAGTGATTTCCAATATAAATGTTTTTGTTTTTGGGATAAATAGATTGTAATTTATTTCAGAAATCTGAAATTATAGTTCTCTCCTAGTCTATTAGTAGTTATAAACCACATCCTGCCTATGAATTTAGCATTGATCCATGGTCAGAATTCATCATACCTGTACGATAGGGCTAAGATTTGTTGGGGTGGTCTGAATGATAAAAACCTTGTTATTTTTTCTTATTTTTAATAAATACTACAAATTAATTAAAATAACATTCTTTGACCTGTGTTTTGTGGAATAAAGTAAAAACAATTTTAATTTATCTTAGGAAAAATTGTTTTTAGAACCAATAAAAAGATGCTTTCAAAAACAAAAACATGTTTTCACTCCATAAGCAGATAAGCTGGCTGATGTGGGATAGGAGTGTGGTAAATATACCAAAATTTCTTATACACGCGCTTTTACAAGTGTTGATAAAAATTTAATTTGCCATACCAGGCCACCTTTAAATGGATCAGAATCCAAACAAAAATAAAAATTATGAAGATGAGCTCATATCCATATTAAATTATACCCGTCCAAACTGGAGTGGTATTTGGCAAGTCTTTCCGTGTGATCATCTGGGCTTCAGCAAGCTCGAAAGACAAAAAATCAGTCTTTTTCTATTTGGTAATCAAAAGCTGAAAAGATGAAAAAATGCATGTTTGGAAAGACCCAAAAATACCAAACACTCCAAATTTCAGGAAGCTTCAAATGATACTTTCTGGTCTTTTGCGTGATGGTTTGATGGATAGCCTCTAAACGCATATTTAAAAGCCCGATAGACCAAGCCGCTTGTTAAACGGCCTTTATCTTTAAAGACAAGAGCCAAAAAATTCAGTATGTCTTTTAGCTACCTGGCTACTGGAAGATCTTTCTAAAAAAACTTTCCAAATGGCATAATGTTTCAAAGTATTTATTGGATTATCTATAATGGACTTGTATTGGACCAGATTTTTTTTTGTATTCGTATTGGACCGGATTGGGTTGACCCAATATCCGGTCCATTGACAGCCTTCCATTTTGAGCCAATTAATATAGCCTTGGATATGGTTCAAGTGGATGGGGATTTGGATAAAATCTTAGTAACAAAAAAAAATCCCAAACCATGTCCCGCATCTCACATATAATAGAATGCAAACTAGTCTGGATGTTTATTTTAGTTTTCTTTCATTTCCATAAGAAAGAAGGCTATAATTGATAAAACACTGTACACTTATCCACCTCTTATACTTCAACAGGTGGCAAGTATTAACTATGAAGTCTCCGGCCTTATACCAAAGACATTCCTATTATTTGCTTTTGCTGATTCGGCACTCGTTTTTATTAAAAAAAACAAAAAATCATCCAGTCGGCTAAAAAAGCAACCCACTTGACCGACCTGTCCTTATTATCATTACCCTTTATTCATGAGCAAGCTTCAGCCCAAAAGTTCTTGCCACGTGGTCAAACCAATCCCCTCCCCCTTTTCTGGATACTTCCGGTTCTAATAAACAAAAGACTAGAGCTTTTGTTTTGACGCCACTATAGACGGTCCAGATTGGCCACATTGTCCTATCGATGCAGAGCTAGCTTAAATTGTCCAAGAAGCCAAATTGCTTATCAACCAAGGAACTCTACTCAAGTATGGATAAGTCTGATCAAAAGATGACCACCACCAATTGACAGCAACGTCACAATTGGCCAACCTATAGCCAAACCGCCCATCTGTCGGAGCAAAAGGCTTGGGCCCTCTCGACCCGAACCCAACAATCCGGATATCTGCTCTTCAATTACCCAATTCAAAAAGTTGTGGGATTAGTCTAGATGATCGGGTTTGTCATCCAACCCGTCTGATCAAAACCGGAACTGACCCATTAAATAAGCCCACGGGGCGCATACAAGCAGTTTACCAGAACCTGAATTGGCAAGCGTTACTGAGAATCTAATCCAAACACGGCCCCAGCCCCTAACACTGCTCCGACACGTTGCGTGAGCAGCAACACTAGAACGGGCCCCCAACTGAGAGCACAAGATATAAACAAGAACAGTTGAGTTGACCGCCCGCCAATCGTCCACCTATTTTCTGGTCTTCCAATGGGGCGCATAGGTTGGTTTTCCGACGACCTGGTTTTGTTCTGGTTGAAGCAACGGATGACATGACACCCACTTGCCAAAAGCCAATCTCATATAAAGGCCGCCACACTGACTGATCAGAGCATCCCAAACCATCTCAGTTAAAACTTAAAAGTCTTCCTGCTTTTTGTGTTTGTCATGGTTCTCTTGGTGCAAAGGCTAAGCCGCTCTCTCAAGCCCTCCTTCAAACTGGAGAATCACCACCACCACCACCACCACCACCATGGCCAGGAGGTATTCTCGGCTTCTCTACATGCTTTTGAAGATGAGATATCGAAAGGTTTGCTTCAACTCTCTTTACAGTCCAAACCCAGCTCAGAAATCCTGACCTTGCCATGGATTCGGCAATGTTTACAGCTTCTACCCACTACGAAGAAGGCGTTCGCCAAGCTTGTAGCTGACATCGACTACCCAATCAGTAGTTGGGAACTTGCTTCCGTCGAAGGGTATCTCGCTGATAGCTTAAGGTTGCTGGAACTTCTCAACTCTATTACTTCTTGTCTTTCTCATCTGGCTCAAGCTCGTATGGCGATATCTCATGCCTTGAGCCTTATGGAGGATTCACCTGCTGCTGCAATGGAACGTCTGAAAGCAATACGGTCTTTTGATTTTAACAAGAATCACAAGCACGGAGAAGAGAATGAAGATAACGGACAGGAGAGGTATTGCTCGGGAAAAGACTGGATTATCCATCAAGCTTTGGCGATGATTAAGAGCGTTGTGTTTTCTCTATGTGGGGTTGTAGCAGTCAGTCTATGTGGAGATGTTCAGGCTTGTTTGGAGATAAGAAAAGCAGCTGGTGAGTTTGGAAACTTTTCGCTGATCAGTTCAGATTTAAAAGTTTGTGAGGAGATAATAAAGAGTGGGAGCATGCTGAGGGAGGTGAGAGATGTGAACGAGGGAGTGGGTCAGCTTATTGTTGCTATAGGCAGTGGACAGAGCAGCAACGCAGAGAAAGAATTGCAAAGAAGGGTGGAGGTTCTGGGGAAGCTGTTGGAGGGTGTTGGCGAGGAAGTGGATCAGCTGTTCTCGGAGGTTTTGATGGGGAGAAATGATTTGCTCAATTCTCTTTAGCAAAGGAAACAATAGAGATGCAGCCAACTTTGTTCTTGTACATATTAATTATTTTTCTTTTTGTAAGTGCCAATATGTTTTTCTGTATACATCAGAAAATTCAACACTGATAGACTTCATCAGGTGTACTCTACTAGACAATGAGTTGTAGTTTTGTCTTAAAAGATCCTCTTTTCAAAATGACTAATTCCAAATAACTTGATTGTAATCTCAATTTCATTGGAGATTGTTGGTTTGTTTGCTGATACATGATTTTTTTTTTTTTTCCCTTAACATAACACAAAAACAATAATTTAAGGGAGGGAAACAACCCAAGCAAGCAATAGATGGATTCTCTAGAAGAGAATGTGTTACGAACATGCCCAATCAAACTCAATCCCTCATAATGACACTCTAGAAGAGGATGTGTATCAAACAAGGATTGAAGATGTAAAAGCAGCTGCAAGGTGTGCCAGTGCCAGAACTTAAATGTGCCAAGGGTCATTTCCTAATGTTTGGTCAAGAATATTCAGGTCTTGGGAGGAGTGGACAGGATACAGACCTAACATGTGGCATTTTCCGGCACAGAGTAGCCTCTTTCGAACTAGAACCCCAAACTTGTCAGCACCCAGGTTTTACCATTCAACTCAAATGCCTGCTCTACAAAAAATTCTAGTAATCTGTAAGGGTTTTTCTCCTAAAAGATGATTACATTACCTCAACCAAATGTTCTGAACGTATTCATATACTGATCATTTCATGACTAACTACGAAAGGAGACCTCTTATCATAAACAACTATTACTGCAAAATAAATAACTACGATAACAAATTACTAAAATCTGGATGGAATAAGAAACATAAGACCTTGAGAATTGTATCTTGAACTCATAATGCATTTATTTGCAATAATTCTACAAAGATTGTCACGGTGCAAAAATATACACCAAGTTCAGGGAAAAACTCAAGAAGAAAGGTGAAAAGAAAGAACCCTAGAGCACCTTAAATATACAAATCACAGCACAAGCAAAAAGAACCTGCATTCTGCAAATGGCCCCAGCCCATAAAGTCAAAAAGGATCAAATGACCTGAATCAATAAATATTTCATAATAATCCTACAAAAAACCAGTTTCCCTCTGCAAAAGAGATACATCACCAGCTCCATTGCAACAATGATTTAGATGTAATATAACAAGCATATTTTTGGTCTGGCTAAAAAGATGCTCTGAAGACGGAGGATTTTTCATCTCATTTCAAGCAGGGGCACCTCAACGGATGTATCAGGAGGGAGCAATTTCAGTCCTCGAGCCATTGGAAACAGATGCCTCAGGTGCTTTTCTCTTGCGACAGCTATCTGATGGCAATCTGGGAGAAAATACAACCAAATGAATTCTAATAAAATAACAGCAGAAACACAAAATAACTGCTTACTATGTGTGTCACATAACTCAACAACTCAGCCTTAATCCCAACTATTTGGGGTTGGCTACAGAAGTCCTTTTCTACCATTGTGCTCTAATCAAGAGACATGTTTTCTGATAAATTATAAGACATTAAATCATTTTCACTTTGGACCACATTTTCATTGGTCTCCCCTTGCTCTTTTAGAGCCTTCTACTTCACCAATTCACTCCTCACTGGTGCAGTAATTGGTCATCCATAAACATGACAAACTATAAAGCCATCTAAACTGATACTTGGTGACACACATATTTAATCATTATTGGTCTTTTCAAAGGCCTACTATCCAGCCACAAGAAAACTAAGCAAAAACTGTAATCAGATCTCTAATGGAAACCTTACATTCATCAAGAAACACAGAGTAGATTACAGCAAAAAATATGCATATAATCTGGCCTATAACCATGTAATTGAGAGATCTCATTAAAAAAGATTATGCTCAATGTTCCAAAATCAGGTCACCAACAAAACAAAAGAAAAAAAAAAGAAAGAAAAGTGAAATTGTTAATTAAGGCTATCAATAAAAAGTCCAAAAATCAACTAACAGCTTAGATTGGGTGACACTTAAGTTGATCCCAGCTATACCAACTAAGATCTTAATTAGTATTGAGCCCAAAAAACCAACTTTGGTCTTAATTTGAACTGATCATAACAGATTAGGTTTGGCAACCAAGTGTTCTTTTCTTTCATTTTCTTGTCAGTTAGCAAGTGGGGCAGTTGTTAATTGTCAGAGGATAACCTTAGAGAAGACTTTACCAACTAGTTTATTTGTATCATCCATTGAGAAATGATACAGCATATAGGCAAGCCATCATATCACATTACAAGCAAAATACCTATACCCGAGTTGATGTACGTAAGATTGTCAAAAGACTATTTTAACATTAGAACAGTTTAGACAACTAACTTGGGTCCCATGTTTTCAAAATATATCTGCATGAACAAGAAAAAAAAAAGTCCTAGTGCTCCCGGTCCAGAAAACACATGATTGCATACATGCATAGATCTGTTAAGTTCCAAATGGCACATCTATCTTTAATATATATAGGAAACATATTTCCAGTGAAGAATTCAATTCCTAAATTAAAGATAAAGATGCACAGAACATCAAATCTGTGTACAGATGAAAAATAATGACTAAATGTGGTTAACCTTCTGATGGTGTATTAGGGAAACGTGTAACTAGGAAAGTTAGTTTGCTCATTTGAATTATAATTACCAACTCCTCATCAGTTATAAGGAATACAAACATAAGATGCCACACATAAAACAAAATTATATTGTTCAGTAATATTTTCAAATGTTAATTTAAATATGGAAAGCTATGTAAGATAAATGTAAAGTTGCATCCATTTACCAAACTTTTAGTTACTAGAATGAGAACACGGTGAGAAAAAGGTTGCCCGTTGTAGAATGTCTACATTAGAGTTCAGCATTGAGGAAATACATGTTCTCATTGGTTACAGTGAGTTAACTAGACACTTACAAGAAGATATGATAATAAAAGCTTTCAGAACCCCTTTAAAACATAATAAACATATAACTCAAAAATTTTGTACGTTTAGCTTCACCAAGAATCTTCCTTTCTGGAAGTCCAATGACTTGCACCTCTAATTACTAATGATAAATCAAATTCCTCTCCATATAACTTCTCTGTCAGATATTAAATTTGTCACACTTTGTCATATATACCCAAGTTTGAATAACAGTAACAAGGGTCTATTACAGAAATCAAGGTTTCGAGATATGATAATAGACTTCCTTGTCTTATTAATATGGGTACCAATGAACTAGGTTGGGCCAAATATATGCTTAAACATAACCCAATAGTTCTCTGGTTGGGAAACATCAACCCAGACACAAATCAAACCAAAGCAGGGAAAAAATTGAAAAGGAAAAAAGAAGAAAATAATTTTATGAACCCAAACCCAAGATGTGTAATCTCACTATTGTGTCATTGGCGTAAAGCCCTGCCTTATTACAGATTCACAGAAACTTTAAGCTATAAAGGGATCAAAAATTCAGAAAAAAAAATGAAGGAAGAAAACAATAATGTAGAAAAGATCATATATAGATCAAGATTAAACAATAATCCAAAGAAATAGTCATGAATTTTCATAAAACAAGATTGCAAAGGCAAAATGTAAATAGCAATTTCAAAACTTGGGGTTGAACTACTTTGAAATGGAATCTGTTGAGATGAATGTAAAACAGGGGGTGAGAAGGGACAGTGAATTTTTTTTTTTTGATAAGCAAGTGTAAAATTATTTCATTCAATGAAAAGGAGGGTGAGCCACCCTCAAGATCTTGTACAAAAAGGTTATTTACAGATATATCTTTAACCTCCAACTATACAAAAAGTAACTACAACAAAAAATGATAGAATTCCAGCTATTAAAAAAAACTGTCCAATATGGTGTCTTTGAAAGGAGCTAAAATCTTCACCAACACTCCAACAAACACTCTATTTTGCTGATAACACCTTCAAGGGCAGCAGCCTTATTTTCAAAAATTCGGCTGTTCCTCTCCTTCGACCCTCCAGCAGAGAGCAAGGGCAAGAAGACCCCATAAAACTTTTCATCTAGGAGAAAAACCCGCTGAGGACCAATAAGCCAATAAAGATGGAAAATAGGGGGGAATCACCCAACTTCTGGAGAACAGCTGAAGAAAATGTGCCCACACTGAATAGGTAAACAAGCAGTGAAGTAACAGATGATTCACTGACTCCTGCTCAGAGTCTTATTAACAGCACAAGCCCTCTACCAGAATGCCTCTACTTAGGAGATGATCAGTTTTTAAAGCCTTGTCCATTGATGCAGTCCAGAAAAGAAAGCCACCTTGCGTGGAGCTTTGTCTTTCCATAACCAGGCCCAAGGGACAGTGGGAAGTGAATGCAACAGCAACAGATTGTAGCAGGACTTAGATGAAAAAAGACGCGGGCTGTCCCCAATCCAGTAAAGAACTAAGATCCTCCACCTCCCAGTCATTTAAGTTCCTTTGAAAAGAGGGGAACCAAACTGGCTGAGAACCCAGTATCTAAAAACAATCTTCCACTACAGCTTCCATTGTTAGGGGAAATAGAGAACAGACTTGGATATTCTTCACACAAGGGCCTCTAGGAGCACCACACATCCTTCCAAAATAAATGTTCAATCCCCAGCTCCAGGTTTCAGTTTGGTATTGCCAACAAAAAAGTCCATGTGTCCCATTATTCCTCTCCACAGGCTAAAACCGTATGACAATTGAGGGTCACCAGCTTCCCACTCATTGTTGGCCACACCATATTTACGTGCTATCACTTGTCACCACAAACTTTCAAGCTCTACACCAAATCTCCATAGCCACTTGCATAACAATGCCTTGTTCATACCACACAACTGTCCGGCTCCAGCTCCTCCCCTCTGTTTTGGTTCATAAACCCAATCCCAAGACACCCAGTGGATCTTCTTCTCATCATTCAGCCCATGCCACAAGAAATCCCTGTGAAGCTTCTCTAAAATTTGAGTTACCTCTGCTGGTAGACTAAAGAGAGACATAAAGTAAACAAGCAGTTTAGAAAGGGTTCTCTGGATAAGTGTGAGCTTTCCTCCCTTGGATAAATATGACTGCTTCCACCCTGCCAATTTCCTACTGAACCTCTCATCTATAAGACTCCAGATGGCTGAGGATCTATAAGGAGTCCCTAAAGGCAATCCCAGGTACTTGGTCAGCAAGGAACCACTGTGACACCCAAGAGCATTGGCCAATTAAGAAAAATAAAGGGGACTCAATTTTACCTAGGGGCTAGGGCTGTAATTGGATTGGATCCAGCTACATCTGCTTCTGATCCGATTATCAGACCTTTGGATCTGAATCCAATCCAAAATCTGATATGTCAAATTCAGATTTAATTCACATCCATATTATTGTGTTTAAAATGACAAACATAAAAAGAAAATAAAAACTAATTATATTAACTTATACATGTAAAATAATGTATATAAATATAAATTATTAAACTTTATATAATTGTATATAATATCAATATATGTACAAAATTATATTATATATAAAATAATAAATTTTTATCGGACTCAGATTTTAATTGGATTGGATGGAACTAAATCTGCATCTGATCTATTAATCGGATGGAAGTTCTAACATACAAATGCAGAATAATTGGATTTGGAGTCAAGTTGGGTATCAGACTTTTAGAGTCCATTGACAGCCCTAATTTTATCCCAAGGATGGAAATAGAGGAAAATCTAGAATACTATAATGGGGACCGATACGTTCAGAAATTGCACCCAAACCCAATCGGATTATAGATGGATATGATTGCCAATGTATATCTGGCCTACAGGTTGAAACACCCAACCCATCACAGAAAACCAAGTAGATTGGAATGAAATTATTCACGAGACCAATAAAGCTTGAAGGGAACCTCTCATCTTGGCTTATCAAAAAGAAAAGAAAAGGACAAGAAAAGAAGAAAGAAAGAGAACCTCTCCTCTTGTAATAGTACAGTACCTTGAATGTGCAGTCCTACATTCTAGCCACACTTGTTCAGTGGTAAATTCCTAGGATGTGAAGCCTAGGCTTAAGCCTTTAAAATGTTGCCATTGATTAAAATTTTATCTGGGTAATGTACAAGTTTCTTATCTAGGAATACCTAAGCTCTTTTAATAGGCATCACATTTTCACTTCGCACAACTTTTTTAGAGCAATGATGATCAAATAAATGCATTAAATATTTCTATTTTATCATCTAAAAGGTAATCTTAATTTATTCCACCTTTGAGGGAGCATTAAATGTATTTTAGAAGCTCAGGGATGCAATTATATTCAACAGTGAAATGAACTAGACTGTAGTATTCAATCTAAGATTTGTATTATTCATAATTCATGGTTTAAAACTTCACCTTGTTCTTAAAGTGTGATTAGTTCCCTATTCTTAATGGCCCAAAATGCATTGCTGCAAAATTTATTCCTGAAGGATTTTATAAGATTATCCCTTGAAAAATTACTCATAGTGCATACCACATAAAGAAGTGAACAGTACCCTAAGTGCAAGGATGTGTCTGAATCTCCTTGCTTCTCAAATAGGCAATTACAACCAATGTTTGAACTTATAATATCCTGTTTTATGTGAGAATGTTTATTCTCCATGGGTTGCAATTCAAGATATGGTGGGATAGGACGTTCTGTTGATGGAAGCAAACCTCGAAGTTCCTCAACCTACAAATTTGAGGGCAGAGATAGATACATTATTCAAGATAAATATCTCATAAGAAAAAATATGCCATGACTAATAATGATTTCGATATTGCCTGCTTACGCAGAGTCTCATTCTCCAGCAACGCACGTTGTTCCTGTGGAATAGAAGACAGAAAATTCATTTACTAAACAATCTAATCATAAAAGTTATACTGAAAAACATGCATGATGTCCCAAAGTTATTGTAAAATCAAATAATACAAATAAATAGGCATAGGAACAAAAGACTGGTATATGTTGTACTTTTAAATAGGTTTTCCTTCTTTACTGAAGCCAGAAACTCAATTTGATAAATGAATTTAATCACACCATGGAGAAGGACTTAATAACATAACCACTGATCCAAACCGACTTAGAATAAAAATCAGCTAAAATTACAAATAAGAGATATCAAGACTGGTATATGTTGTGCTTTTAAATAGGCTTTCCTTCTTTACTGAAGCCAGAAACTCGATTTGATAAATGAATTTAATCACACCATGGAGAAGGACTTAATAACATAACCACTGATCCAAACCGACTTAGAATAAAAATCAGCTAAAAATACAAATAAGAGATATCAAAATTAACCAATGATGTTTCATATGAACAGAGAAATATGCCTACTGCCCTAAGACTAGTAATCCTGTTGCAAACTATCCAGAATCCAGAATGAGATAGAACTGGCCTTCATGTTGAAATTATGAAATTGCTGCTACTAACTTCCTTAGCTTCCTTGACCAAGACATTCCAGTACCATGTTATTATTCCTACAGCCACTGGAATAAAATCAAAATTGGCAAGCTTCTGGTGCAGTAGATACAGTAAGGTAGTAGCATAGTGAACTACAGATGCATGATGAAACTACTGAAGGTATGAAAGTCTTACCTTCATTAGTATAGAACGGTAGAAAGGAAACTACTACAGCATTTAGGCCATCAATAGTCAATTTAGAAATTTGTAAATAAGTAGAACCATCAAATGATAATCCATGAAAAAATCACAAAATGATATCCTTCAAAAAGAAGCTCTCATAATGCATGAGCACCTCATATTAGTTTTCAGGATGATGATGATCATGTACCTTTTGAAGAACTATGCACCTTTCTATAATTTTGTTTGTAAAGTTCTGTTAGGATAATGGACATTTACTATGCATGAAATGACAATTTCTGTTTTCTACATGTAGAGGTTGTATAGCTTCTCCCTATTTTCTTTTTCTTTGTCCTTTGCCTTCTCGTTGGAAAAACTGGTTCTTCACAACTATATGGCCTAAAGTAATAATTTGTATTCAAATTTAAATATCCTCATCCATATTATTGAGCATATGCTCCCTAAACATCACAACTATACAAAGAGTGCATTTAGCAAAAAAGGGCATTAAATACTGGACTAGCAGAAATAAGTATATATATATATATATAACAGTGTAAAAATGATTATTGTTTTCCATCATAGAAGAATAATTGAAAAAACAATATTTCCTTAGGATAAACATCAGATCAACATTTTGAAATGCCAGATACAAAAAACAATTTGGTATACCTGTAATCTTGATTGTTCAAGCTGTTCCAACAGTAATTGCTCCTGAAACAGTATACCTTTTAATCAAGTTCTATAAAACCATATTTTAAGGTACTAAATAGTTTTGCATAATATATTAGCACTTCTTAAAAATACAGTAAAATAACTAATGGTGATACAGATATTAAAATCTTTCAGTACCTTCCTATCCTTCACAGATAAAATCCCCTCACTTAATTGATATTCTAGATGTTGCAATTCTTTTAAGCTCAACCCAGTCAGTTCTTTACCCATCATCCGCCTACAACAAAATAATATCAAAAATGATAATACTAAGAAGATAGTATTGTATATTCCAAAAGCAAGTGACAGAATATTGCCAAATTATCATGACTTGAAAAGAAGATAATACCGATTTGCCATCCTTAGCCTTGCAATTTCATCTTTCAGAATGTTAACCTCCTTAGATTGTTGTTTCTGTTTAGGAATAAAAAGAACTGTTAGAAGGGATACATATTAATAAGAACCACAAATAAAAAGAAATTAGGAAGACAAAATAAACAATTAATAGCTAAATAAACTTTCAATCCCTTTCTCTGGCATTATTTCAGTTTCTAAATCCTAATTACATAATCTTAAATTACAACTTTCTTTTATTATTTTGCTGGGACATATACTGAATGCAGGGGCGAAGCCAGGAGGTGGTGGAGGGGAGCCATGGTCCCCCCTACGCCTTAAGAATCCCCACACCCCCATTTATATCCACATCATATCCCCCCCATATGTTTATTAACACCTTTGCACCCACCCCAATCCATATTTATTAGCTTTTGGCCCACTAACAAAAAATCCTGGCTCTGCCCCTGACAGAATGGTCATGCATTATGCCATTATTGTTTCATGTTTCACAAAGTATATGGTACAGAGTTGTGGTTCTCAATACCAGTACCAAGAAAACTATACAGCTTAGAGTGTTGCACATCCAATACTGCAACATTGCACCCTGTAGAGAGTAATGGTTTTTTCTTGTTGCTAAGATTTCAACTATTTGTGTTATTATTCACTTCCTGCAACTTTTCATCGGTCATTATTGTAAAAAATGCATTTTTACATGGAGATCTACACAAGTTTGTTGCTCAGGGAGAGTGTCCAGACTGCAGAGATGACATGCAGGTTAAAGTAAGGTACTTATGGCCTTAAACAGTCTCTGGTTCCTGGTTTGACAAGTTTAGTGAGGTTGTACTAGATTTTGGATCACAATGTTGTCAGTCACATTACTCTGTTTCACTTTCCTGGTTTGATAAGGATGTCACAAACATCTTTTCATGGTTCCACCAAGATGGTCTAAAAAACTTTAACGGAGAACAAGCTTCTAGGTTATCCGTTTAAACTATTCCATTAGAACCAATCAATAGGGTGCACTTCTCTTCAATACAAGTTACAAGATCAATTCATGAGGCCAAAGCTGACACAAGACATAAACCCACCCTATAACTTGTTTAACCAAAATCATGCAAAGTAACATCAACATGTGTATCACTGTAAGGTTTAAAAATCAACACTCAAAATAGCTCCCAATGACCATTTCACAAAAGCTGAAAGAACCAAGAGTCCCATGTTAGAGGAGTTTGAAAAACAAACAAAAAAGAAAGGGAAATAATTTGCTTTTAGTTAGAGATCCATGTTAGAATTGTATGAGAAACATGAAACCTCAAACATGGAATCGAGGACTTTGTGGAGGTGCTATAACTATTTTCATGGTGCATAGATTAAAATCAGAAAACTTGTTATGGTTTAATAGACCTAACATAGCAAGTTCAAAAGGCCAGGGTCAATTTATTAGATTTTATAATATGCATGATTTATGATTATTTTGTTTATATTATTCCTTATACAAAAAAACATATTAGCTAGGAGGTATTGAAGTGGGAATGATTTGATCAAAGAAGGTACTAGGAAAAAGAAAGAAAAGAATATAATGGAAACGGAAAAAAAAAAAAAATCAAACGATAACCTTAAAAAGCCTATAAGGAATGTCATGTATAATGCACCAGAGAGGGAAAGCATATAATGATTTCATATGTTACAAGAACAAAATAAATCAGTACCTCAACTTCATACTCAACTATTGCTGTCTCAGAACAATCCAGGCATTTGTTGTATCTAGAAAGTGTTCGCTTCATGCTTCAGAAACAAAAAAAATAAAGACATTTGAAGATTATTAAGTTTCCGAAATACAAAAGCTAATAATGCATTTGAATACTATTTGAGATGCTTTCTTAGTGGTTCTGCACAAATTATAACACTTCATCCTATAGTGGTACTAGAAATAGGAAACTAACCTATCAAATTCATTTTGAAAGCCATGATTTCTGGCATATTTTGGCCAACTAGCCATGTGGAACAGACATGCAATCTCTTGAGAGAGAGAGAGAGAGAGAGAGAGAGAGAGAGAGAGGCTGGACATAAAAGTGACAAGGGTGGAAACAGAAGTGAAAACAGGAATGGGAAACCATGAAGAAATAGTCAATTAAGGTGAGGCAGGGGCATAATTGAAAATAAAAAACAAAGGCTTTGAGTGGAATGCAAAAGCTTGAGACTCCACAAAAGAGGAGAGAGTGAAATGCTGCCTCTTTTATGCAAGGTAATAGCTAATCTAACATTATCTTACTTGCATAACAAAATTCAAAGCACAGGACCACAGGTGGATGAATAGCAAACCAGCAATAGGCTATATCAATAACCATGGGCACGGGGATCATAGAAAAATGAAAGAAAGGTGCACGGGGATCAAAGAAGTGCTCTTCTTTGAAATAGCAGTGCATGTTGGATATGGAAGAAATAGATTGACTATATCAATAACCATGGGCAGGGAATTCTCATGTTTATGTCTATAATTTATTTAGATACAGTGATCAAGAGGTAGGTAGGTACTTTAGATACTTTTATTCTTGAATAATGCTTCCCCAATAAAAGTACAGTCCATGAAATTCCCAAGAGGAGAACAAAGTTCCTCAAAAGCGTTATGAAAAGAAGCTCAGTACAAATTATTGTAGTAACCCCCTTGAAAACCTTTCTAGAAAGCAGAGTTTTGCTCCAACCTATCAAAAATCATGTCCTTAAAGCTTTTGGGAAGGATTTTATATGAAAGGGATCTTGAAACATGTTGCAGTAATAACAAAATTCAGTGACTTAACTCTTCTAATTATGAAACCCAAAATTGAATATCTTAAAATGCATCTAATCTTTCAGAGAATAAGTCACACTGATAACTACGTAGAAGATCAGAAATAATAAATAAAACATGAAAACACCAATAAAATTTGAATGTATTTAAAAATCTCTATCGATTCAAATTACATAAACACCAACAAATTTGAAAAACAAATGTGCTCACAAAAAAAAAAAACATACCTAGAACTAGCAAACTCGAAGAGCTTGCCACTGCTGGAAAAGATAATGAGAGCAACCTCGGCATCGCATAAAATTGATAACTCCTGGGCCTTCTTAAGCAACCCAGCACGACGCTTAGAGAAGGTGACTTGCCTGCTAGTGGCATTCTCAATCCTCTTTATTTCAATCTTCCCTCTACCCATTTCTCCCTACAACTCGATTCTGTCCTCTCATCCAACCACCAAACTACCAAACCAAAAATCAGAGCAAGAGAGAAGGAAAACCAAAACTACAAACAGCAAACTTTCTCTCCCCCCTCTCTCTCTCTTTCTCTGTTTCTAGTCATATCTGTATATAGCCATGTTTCTGAATTGTCTAAACTTCTGAGGTGACAAAGAAGGAAAATAGAAAGAGAGTGGCCAAATATAGAACGCAGAGGATAGAAGGGTGAGAGAGAGTATTTGCCCAGAATGACAAAATGCCTGGAAACGGTAACACTGCATGGTCATTGCCTCGAAATCTGTGTGTAAGCGTACTTTGCCACATTTAGAGAATTTACTATTACCATCTCCGAATCCATAATAAACCCATATCTCTCTGTCCTATTTATAGTAAAATTCTCACCATTATAGAGAGAGAGAGCGTTGAACTTGATGGTTGTTTGCTGTTTTTGGAGGGAAAGAGGACCCATTCGACGCAGGACGTACCAACTTTTTCCCATTTATTGGAAACTTTTAATATTTAATTATTTTAAATTGGTGTACGCTTTCGTTTTGCTTCTTTTTCATTGATTCTTTGAAAATAAAACAATAATTAAATGTCTGCTTTACGGCTTTCCTATAATAGAAATTTTGGAATTTTGGGACCGAGAGCATCTCAACTTCTAGTCGGTTCAACTTCTGGTTTTGGGGCAAATTCTGTAATTAAAGAGTCCATTATTACTTAGCTCACTTTTCATGGCCTCAAGCATGAAATTTTTTTGCTGGAATCGGAAGAATTTGGTGATGATCAGATGATCCGATGGGAGCGTTTACATAGAGAATCCCTCGTGTTTGTTGTTCATTGGTTGAAAATAAAAAATTATTTTGATTTATGTAAATTTTCCAAGGGCTTAGCCTTTCCTACCAACAAAACACGTTCCAACACCATGATCTGACATGGATCACCAGCCAACAAAACACGTCCCAACCCCCTACCAAGTTTATCCAACACCGTCTCACCATTTGTTGGAACGTGTTTTATTGGTAGAAAATCCCAACTCTTGTACTAGATGTGTGGTGTCAGATCGTCTTGTAAGGGTGTTGGAACGTATTTGTTAGAAGGAGATCTAACCTTTTTTTCTTGGGTAAATTGTTGAAATCTCTCTTAAAGTTTGGTAATTGCAATTACCTTCCCTGAATTTTTTGATATAGTTGCAAGTAGACCCCCTTTAGTAAAATCTTCTAAAAAAAGGCATGAAAATGTCTAAAATACCTATACAGTTACTTTAAAAAAATGTTTATTTTTCAAATTTTTCTTCATATGAATCACTACCCCAAGTCCTTCCAATCTTTTTTCCAAAATTGATTTGTTTTCCAAATTTGCCCTTTACATCAATCACACAAAGGTAAAGCTACAACTTTAAATTCTCTTGGCTTCTGTTGTTCATCAAGTTTGTATTGTTTTTCCTTTAAAAATCAGCCTCAAGGTAGTGCACGAGTATTTTAAACATTTTCATGCTTTTTTTAGAAAATTTTACCAAGGGGGTCTACTTGCAACTGTATTAGAAAGTTCAAAAGTTTAGGGGAGGTGAATGCAATTACTAAACTTTAGGGGAAGTTTCGGCAATAGTCAGAAACTTCAGGGAATGTTTCAAAAATTTACCCTAGTTTAAGTTGTATTTTTTTTCTTTTTGGAAAACGCCAAAAGGCTCATCCATTCATCAAATCCTCAAGTACATCAGAAGATAAGGCAGAACTCAGAAAGCCTGGGATTATGGAACAAGTTTTAGGAGAATTACAATGTAAAGAGGATTTTGCAAGGGTGTGAGCTGCTTTGTTACAARATCTGGGTGTGAAGATCACTGAAGAATTTGGAAGGTGTGAGAAAAGACTCTTGCAAGAAGAAATGAGCGATAGGATGCTCCATGGAGGGTTTGGATTTAGGGTTGGCAATCTTGATCCCAACCCATTTGACCCAACCAACCCGTCCACCTTGGAACCCACCCAATCTATTGGTGGGTCAATATGGGTTGAGTAATCCATTAGGGTTAGTGGAAAAGGGTCAAGGTGGGTTGGGTCGAGAGTACCCATTAGGGTTAGGATGGGTTGAGTTGCACAAGTCATGATGGGTTGGGTCAAAGTAAATTCTATCTATACTCGCCAAATCTAAAAAAATGAAAGTTGTAGTGCTTTGAACTCAAGCCTCCTAGCATGCACACATCTAAACCACCATGCTACATTTCATTTTAAGATTAAAAGTAAAATAAAATAGATTTTATTAACTTTCATGTTCACATGCAATTTTATACAAAAGCATTTTTACAAAACCAATTTTATAAAGTAATTTTATGAAAATGACTTTTACAAAAGTACTTTTACACAAAAGCACTTTTATAAAATACTTTTACACGAAAGCACTTTTATAAAAGTACATTTACAAAAGCACTTTATGAAAGTACTTTTACGAAAACACTTTTATGAAAGCATAAAAGTACTTTTATAAAAGTACTTTTACAAAAGCAATTTTATTAAAGTACTTTTACACAAAATCACTTTTATAAAAGTACTTATATGAAAGCGCTTTTATGAAAGCATAAAAGTGCTTTTATGAAAGTATTTTTTTGAAAGCACTTTATAGAAATACTTTCATAAAAGTACTTTTGCGAAAGCGCTTTTATAAAAGCTATACATTTTTTGCATTTTCTACAATTTTTCTGTTATTTTCTACATTTTCTGTAATTATTCTGCATTTTTGGTATTTTTTACATTTTCTAAAATTTTGATTTGTAGGATCTCTCTCCCCCTCTTGGTTTTATATGTAATAGTGATTCTTGAGGACGTGCTACCCCAGGCTTGTGTAGCACTGCTTGGATTTATCAAAAAAAAAAGAATCATCACTCACTTGTTGGACTGGATGAATAGCAGAATATGTAGGGCTGCAAAAGGATCCGATTCTGATCGATTAGCTGCCGATTAAAACTATTCAGGTTCAGTTCAAATCAGATCTTATCCAACGGATATGGATCAGGTTCGGATCTAATCAGGATTAAATTCAGATACTGAGCATGATTAATTAATTAAACTAAAAATAATCAAATATATATTATATTTTGAGGATGGAAGCCCAGAAGGCTATTTCATTGATTCTAACTTGATGAAAAATCGCTTACAAGGATTGAAAAAAAAAGTGTGAGTGATGATGGATTATGTATAAGGCCCATATAAAGAAAAAACCTCTTTTTTGTTCTGAGGAATACAATTCACCAAGAAAGAAAGGTGTTGTAGTGAACCATTATGTACCATCACAATGGATAGGAGCAGTTCTTGCCAAAATATAAGAACCATTATGATGATATGATCCATGAGAACAACAAGCCTGTTGCTTCCACACCTGTTTCATAAGTTACATCAACATTCAACTTTAACATATTTGCACCAAAATGTCTGGTGTGGACTTAGGGATTGTTTGGCAAGTCTTTTTAGGTAGATCTTTCAACAGTCCACTAGATGAAAAGATGCAATAAACTTTTAGGCTGTGTTTGGTTTGAAAGAAAAAGTAGAGAAAGGTAGGAAAATCTATACATAGTTTGTAAAGGTTCCCTACTTTTTTCCTTCAAACCAAATATAGCCTTAGGGTCTTGTCTTTAAAGACTAAGATTATTAATTTGGTTCGCATCATAGTCACTTAGGCTGTTAAAAACTGCTCAGAAGGTTATTTTCAGTGTGGAAAGACCAAAAGCTTTATTTGAAGCTTCCCGATTTTTGGGTTTTTCAATCTTTTCGCACACTTGTCTTTGGCCCTTTTTGTCTATCCGATACCAAACAAGAAAAATCCATTTTTTGCTCTTTTGTGATTCTCACGAACAAAACTACAAACCAAAAAGATGCACCAAACACCACCTTAAAAGGAGATATCACTATCAAACAAGTGTTAAAAGCCACAAAAGTATAAACAACCGCAGCAGAATCAAAGGGAGAAGCCTAACATTATCACTCTGGGTTAGCCAAATATATTATTGCATAATAATTGCACCATATAACAACTGAGGTGTCAATTGTATTGGATTTGGTCCAACCCAATCCAATCCAATGTGAATCCACTTACAAGTGGAATGGACCCAATCCAGTCCAAATCCAATCCAATCCATTAAAATGTAAATGGACAACCCAATGAAATATCAAAAATTATATAAAAAAAATAAAGCATATAAAAATTATAAAAATCTATTAAAATGAATAAAATCTGAAAATTACAAAAATAACCCTTTTGGCATTGAACAAACACTTTTGTAAAAGTGCTTTTATAAAAGCACTTTAATGAAAGTACTTTTGTCAACGTGCTTTCGTAAAAGTACTTCTGTATAAGTGCTTTTATAAAAGTACTTCCGTAGAAGTGCTTTTATAAAAGTACTTTCATAAATGTTCTTTTATAAAAGTGCTTTCATAAAAGTATTTTCATGTAAAAGTACTTTTATAAAAGTGATTTTGTAAGAGTACCTTTGTAAAAATGCTTTTATTAATGTACTTTTGTAAATGTGCTTTCATAAAATTACTTTCGTGAAAGTGCTTTTGTTCATAAAGTGGTTTTATGCCAGTTTCAGTTTTGATTACTTTCAAATTGGATAAGGGTTTGGCCTCATGATCGGATTATTGAATATTTGGTTTAGATCCAATTCAAAGCAATTTATTTTAGATTGGACTAATTTAATAATTATAACGGACCAGCCAAATCCTTTTTGATAAGATTTGAATCGAATTAGATTCAATCCAAAACCAATAGATTGACACCCCTAATAACAACCAACGTTCTAGGGAATTACATTTCATGTCATCACACCATCAAAACTATATAATCTCTCTAATCTATACTACATTAAAAAGTATGAATGACCTCAAGAATATTTTTGGAATTTTCTAAGGAAAATATTTACCCATTTATATTTAAATTTAATGATAAAAAATGAGGGCAAATAGGGTAATCGATTATTGATATTAAATGAGTTGAAAATAGGTAATTTAAATATATTCAATGCATTCAATTCTCTTTCATTAAATCCAATATTTAAGTTATTAACTTGCATTCGTGTTCATTGAATCATATATTTAAGTCATTTTTATTTCTTCTCATCATTAAGTTCTATTAATTAAATTCATACTTAATAAATTAATAATTCCAATAACATAAAAGCTTATATACTTTTAAAATCTACCTAGAAAAAAATAGTGTTTTCATCTAAGTGGTGGTAAGAAATTAAATCATTTTGGGTCAAATGGGTTAATCCATTTTGCCACGATTAAATAATAAAACTAAAAAATAGATAAAATGAAAACAAAATAGAAATTAAAAAAATTG